GCAACAGGGTCTTCCTGTAGCCCCTGCTGGCCTAGAACTGCTACATAGACCAGGCTAGCCCTAAACTCACAGAGCTCCGTCTACCTCTGCCTCCCAAGTGCTGGGATTAGAGGCATGTGCCCCATTATTTTTATTTTATGTGTATGAGTGTTCTGCCTGCCTATATGTAAGTGCAACAGTATGTGCAATGCCCACAAAGGCCAACAGGGTCTTCCTGTAGCCCCTGCTGGCCTAGAACTGCTACATAGACCAGGCTAGCCCTAAACTCACAGAGCTCCGTCTACCTCTGCCTCCCAAGTGCTGGGATTAGAGGCATGTGCCCCATTATTTTTATTTTATGTGTATGAGTGTTCTGCCTGCCTATATGTAAGTGCAACAGTATGTGCAATGCCCACAAAGGCCAGAAGACGATGTTAGATTCCCTGGAATTGGAGTTATGGATGGTTGTTAGCTGCCATGTGGGTACTGGGAATCGAACCCAGGTCCTCTGAAAGAACAGTGTTCTTAACTGCTGAGCCATCTCTCCAGCCCCTATTTTTATTTCCTAAAATAGCAGGGCAAGCTAGATATAGTTAGTGGCCCATGGCTATAATCCCAGCAACAGAATTCAAGATCAATCTGGTCTAGGTAAAAAATTCTAGGCCAGCCTGAACTATAGTGTGATACTTGGTCTCAAAACACCAAAGATGCTGGGCGTGGTGGCACACGCCTTTAATCCCAGCACTAGGGAGGCAGAGGCAGGCAGATCTCTGTGAGTTCAAGGCCAGCCTGGGTCTACACAGTGAGTTCCAAGCCAGCTGGGGCTACAGGGAGACCCTGTCTAAAAAAAAAAAAAAAAAAACAAAAAAAAACAACAACAATAACAAAAACAAAGTAAACAAGCTTGGTGTGGTGGCTCATGCCTATAAGCCCAGCACTTGGGAAGCTGAGACGGAAGGATCAGAAGTTCAAGGCCAGTCTCAGGTATAAGAAATTCTATCTCTGGGGCTGGAGAGATGGCCATTGGTTAAGAGGACAGAGGATTCAATTCCCAGAATACACATGACAGCTAACAACCATCCCTAACTCCAGTTCCAGGGGAATCCAAAGCCCTCTTCTGACCTCCAAGGGCATTGCATGACATGGGTGCACCTACATACACGCAGGCAATACACTCATACACATACAAATAATAAAATCTTTTAAAAAGAAATTCTATCTCAAAAATATTTTTAAAAACACAAAACTTGCTGGGTATGGTGGCATATACCTTTAGTCCCAGCATTCAGGAGGCAGAGGCAGAGGCAGGCGGGTCTCTGTGAGTTCAAGGCCAGCCTGGTCTACATAGTGAGTTCTAGGCCAGCTGGGGCTACAGGGAGACGCTGTCTCAAAAGACCAAAAATGGAATCCCACAAATGGAATTCAATATTTAAATATAACAAATAATAAACATCATGATCACAATTATCCAGAAATGCAATATTCACTGGCAAATTTCTCCAAAGAAGGGAAGAGGGAAAAAAAGGAGCAGGAAGAAGAGGAAGAGGAAGAAGAAGAAGAGGAGGAGGAGGAGGGAGTTGTCTGTCTAAACTTTGTTAAGAACTGCAATTTTTAGAAATACTGAACTACAGAAGAGATTTTAGGAAGCTTCTATCTGTACCATCACCAACCTAATGATACCATTATTCAAATATTTTTGATCTTGGTAGGCCTACTCCTATCCTTGAGACAGGAATCTTATGGTACCCCTTAGCACTTCACTTTGTTTAACACATAATTTATTGAGTACCAAACTAAGTTCCTGGCATTGGTCTGGGTACTGTGGATAGAGTGGTAAACTGACAAAAATTCCTGCCCTCCTGGGTCTTATGAGCCATATATATTTGTCTATAGTTGAACTATATGTGATATATACTCACATAGTCACACAGATATACATAAATAAAAATATATACAGTTCAACTGTAGACAAATTCAAAATTTTAACAAAAATTCCTAGCTACACTGGGTGTAGTGGCACATGCCTTTGATCCCAGCAATTGGGAGGTAGAGGCAGGCAGATCTCTGTGAGTTAAAGGCTAAAGTGGTCTATATAGTGAGTTCCAGGCCAACAAGGACTACATAGTGAGACCCTGTCTCAAAAAACTCCAAAATAAATAAACTTCCTATTTCAAAATTTTTATTTTGTTTTTTTTTAACTATTTTATTTTTATTTTATGTGTATAAGTGTATTGCCTGCATGTATGTGAGTACACCGTGTCATGCAATGCCATGGAGGTTAGAATAGGGCATTGGATTCCCTGGAACTGGAGTTATAGATGGTTGTTAGTTGCCATGTGGGTACTGGGAATTGAACCCAGGTCTACTGCAAGAGCAGTCAGCGCTCTTAACCACTGAGCCATCTCTCCAGCCCCTTTATTTTTATTTCTTAATGTCTGCACTTTCCTTTAGGTTCTTCTATATAAAGTCCTCTTAAGTCACAACTTATCACTCTGCCCTGGGAAAGCAGACTTGCCTCCAAGGCCCAAGGCTCCTACAAATACAGCCATGAAAAAGCATTCATTACAAGCCAGGCACAGTGGCACATCCTTTAATCCCAGCACTCAGGAGGCAGAGGCAGGAGGATCCCTGTGAGACCATGGCCAGCCTGGTCTACATGGTGAGTTCCAGGTCAGCTGAGGCTACAGGGAGACCCTGTCTCAAAACGACCAAAAAAAAAAAAAAACGAAAAAGCATTCATTACAAATAATGAACACTGGACTAGACTGGCCAGCACATTTATACAGTGTTCATACTGTGGCAATCACGAACATTTTATAGTTCTCCACTTTTCCTGTGGCAAAGCCAAGCCTTTAGACTTGGGTGAGCCATTTTCCTGGACAAATCTCTAAAGCAAGTCTTTGAGGACCATCACACAGGGAGTGGAAATAACAACTGGAAAGAACCTCTTTAAGAATCATGCATTAATGTAAGTTACAGAGGTAGGTAGGCTAAATTTCCACTCAGTCAATACAAGTTGTTCTGATCTTTGGATGACTTCATGTTTATTTCATTCTCCCTTTGGGAGACTTCAGCATGCCACTTGTCTATGATAGAAGCACCTAGGTCTGCTTTCCCATGAACCGGTACATTTGTGTTCCCCTCCAAGATGAAACGTGAATGTGGTAACAGGCTTGTACTAACAGCTGTTCGAGCTGCAAGGGGCTTTTTTGTCACTTGAACCTCCTATTCTGTTCTGGAATTCCTTTACAGCATTCTTGACTCATGGTCAACAATCTGGGCCCCTGTGCAAACAAGATCAATGACCTTGTAAGGCTACCTATCCAGTGGAGGACTATTCTTGTTAGATCCTTGTTTCACTGAACTTGAATATGCATCACATAACATTCATCATCTACTACTGCAAATACTTCAGATAACATCTCTTCATTCATTTTTTGTTTTGTCCCTCTGTGCTGGATAGCTTTAGTGTCAACTAGACACACCTGGGTTGAGGGAGCCTCAATCAGGGAATTGCCTCTATTGGACTGGCCTGTGGCCATGACTGAAGGGCATCTTCTTGATGAGTGATGTGGGAGGGCCCAGCCTACTGTGGGTGGTGCCACCCCTGGGCAGGTGGGCCTGTGTTGCATAAGAAAGCAGGCTGAGCAGGGGCCAAGGGAGCAAGCCAGTAAGCAGCGTTCCTCCATGGCCTGTGCTCCAGTTCCTGCTTCCAGGTTCCTGCCCTGAGTTCCTACCTTGGGCTCCCTGATGAACTGCAACCTGGGAGTTGTAAGCTAAATAAACCCTTTCCTCCCAAAGTTGGTAGTGGTCAGAGTGTTTTGTCACAGCAATGGAGAAACAAACCAGGACACCCTCAAATACTGAGAAGGTTCATCATACCCTCTTCTTTTCCAGACTAAGCATCCCTATTTTCTTCAAGCAGAATGTTTTTGGTTCTTTTTTTTTTTTTCTCGGTCTTTTTGAGACAGGTGTCCTGGAACTCACTATGTAGACGAGGCTGGCCTTGGCCTTGAACTCACCAAGACCCGCCTGCCTCTGCCTCCCAAGGGCTGGGATTAAAGGCGTGTGCCACCACACCCGGCAGTTCTTTTTTTTTAAGACAGGTCTCACTATGTCCCCCTGGCTGGTCTAGAACTTGCTATGTAGACCAGGTTGGCCTAAAACTCACAAACATTCACCTGCCTCTGCCTGCCAAGTACTGGGATTAAAGGCATGTGCTAACCATTCTTATTCATCAGTTTTTGGAGCTTTTACAAGGCTCACTGCCACTTCTTTATACATTCCAGTCTGTCAGCATCCTTTAACACAGATGAGTTTCTATTTATTACCAATTTTTTAAATTACTACAAATATAGAAATGACCTATTCTATAACACATGGCTAATCTGGTAAATGCTTTCCTTTCCTTACATGATGCTGCTATATAAGCATAATGGGAAAAAGGTTATTTCAGAGCTGGACATGGTGGTACACTTATAACTACTCTCAGCACTTGAGGCATGGAGGCCGTAAGATTGCCACAAATTTAAGGCCAGCCTGGATTTCACAGAGTTTCAGGCCAGGCAGGGCTGCACAGAGAGACCCTGTCCATCCCTCCCCACCCCCCAGCCAAAAAAATTACTTCAGTACCATCAAATAGGTAAGACAAAGCTATATTTTAAATCCTAAATCTGGGGCTGGGGACATTGCTCAATAGTAAATTTCATGTCTACAGTTAGCTCTTCAGCAGCAATAAATTCTAAATATGATTCTATAGGAAAAATGAAAACACCACACGAAAACATTAAAGAAAAATATAGAGAAAAAAACAGCTGACCATGCCACCATCAACAGAAAAGTAGATATTTGCTCCCTAATCAAATACATGTGAAAACACAAAACAAAGAATTTTGTCAATGGAAACCAATAGATGTATCTGGCTACAGATATCTGTGTAAACATTGCTGCAAAGGGGTGTCTATATAAGCCTTTCAAAATGGAAAATTATACTTACATTTTTCCGCCCAAATCATAACAATGTCATACTTTGGTATTGCAGTGTCACAAATTTAAAAAGAAAGGCTATAAAAAGTAGAAACTGCCACATGACAGGTTTTATATATATATATACAAACATTTAGTTGAGGTCACAAAGGGAACTAAGAAAAGTCAGAGGCTAACCTAAGCTAAAAGAGTGAAGGAATTTTTCCAGTGATCTCATAATTCTCCAAACGGTAGCCAAGGTTCCCCCCCCCCGGAATCATAAAAAATAGGCAAAGCATCCGGAAGCAGCCAGGTGGAGCCCAATCACCAGAAACAAGTAAACAGTGACTTTTTCTTCCCTCTAGTCATTCTGCTTCCTTTTCACTCTTAGTTTCTATTTTTTTAAACAACACCAATATTTTAACATTTTTATACACAAATGTCATAATCACAGCTTTTTTAATATATAAATAAGGGGGAGGGCCATCAAGATGACTCAGAGGGTAAAGGCGCTTGCCACCAAACTTGACAGTCTGAACTCAATCCCCAGAACCCACATGGTGGAGAGAATCAAGTTCTGCAAATTGTCCTCTGACCTCTACATACCACACACACACACACACACACACACACACACACACACACACACAAATATATAATGAAAATTATAAAATAGGGGGGAAAGCTGGGTATGTTAGTGCACACCTATAATCCCAACACTTGAGAGGCTGAGGCAGAGGACTGTTGTGAGTTCTAGGGCAGCCTGATCTACAGAATGAGGCCCTATCTCAAAATTTTTAAAAAATTAATAAAAGAAAAATAGTAAAAGAAAAAAATGAAAGGAAAGAGTCTGGTTAGTAACATTACCAAATAAATAATTTATCAATTGCCAAGAACTGTCAACAAATATTTATCATGAATGAAAATAACTATCTTCCAGGTGATTTAGAAGGGATCACAGGGTCTCAAAGAATATCACTACTGCTTAACATTTATGCTCTCTATATATTTAAAAGCCCTTATTAACAAGATGTTTGTAGAATCACTATTGACTTTTCATAATTCCTGTGAAGAGACACTGCAGACAGAAAGTAGCCTGTATTTACTGTCAAGAGAATTGTTGAGAAGAGAATCCATTTAAGAAGAAACCAAAAGTAGTCAGACAGTGTCACATGCCTATAGTTCTAGCACTTTTGGGAGTAGACATGAAGATCAAGAGTTCAAGACCTAAGCTACAGAAAACTCTACTTTGCCTGGAAGATCCCATCTCAAAAACTGGGCATGGTGGCACATGCCTTGGGAGGCAGAAGCAGGCAGATCTCTGCGAGTTCAAGCCTAGCCTGGTCAACACAGCAAGTTCCAGGCCAGCCAGGGCTACATAGTGAGACCTTGTCTCAAACAATAAAAAAGGAGGAGGGAGGAGGAGGAGGAGGAGGAGGGGGAAGAGGAAGGGGAAAATGAGGAGGAAGAGGAGGAGGGGTAAGGAAGAGGAAGGGGAGGAGGGGGAGAGGAAGGGGAGGAGGGGGAAGAGGAAGAGGAGGAGGGGTAAGGAAGAGGAAGGGGAGGAGGGGGAGGAAAGGGGGGAAGGAAAAGGAGAGGAAGAGGGAGAAGGAGGAAGGGGAGGAAGAAGAAATCAAAAGTAGAGTCTATTTTAACACTGAAATTCTAACCTGAATCCAACTTGTTAAAATGGTGTATCTGGCATTTTACTTGGTTGTCTTGAGCAGTTATGAAATTTTCTAGAAAAGTCTTCTTTACTTCTTTGCAGTGGCATGCTGTTGATTTGTAACTTAAGAATTATTAAGTTTATCCCAATATTTTAGCAACCCTGAAAGGCATTAAAAGACACTCTTCCACAATGATAGAGGAAAATGTTAACAATAGGTGACAACTGATAAATAGGCTAAGAAAGCAGTTTCATTGCTACATCAGAAGGATACTCATTCATTTATAGTAACTACTATATAACAGATAATGTGCTAGGCCACAAGTTGACTAGGAGTGACACAGCTAGAAAATGTCCCTCCATAATACAGTAAGTCATGAGATCAATTTTAATAAAAAGATACTTATTCATAGAATTTTAAAGAAAGCCACTAAAATTATCTAGAAAAGAGATCACTTATGAAAACGAATTCATTGGAGAGCAATGCTTCCTTAAGAATGTACCCATCAGAACAGCAGGCCCTCCTGACCCTTTAGAACACATCTATATAGTGTATCATGAAATGAAGCAAGAACCTGAAAAGTTCAGTCGTACTGTCCTGTCTGCAACTGGAGATATGCTCAAGGAATTAGGCTAAAGGAGTATTTTAGCCTCACATGCTATGGAAATCTGACTAGGGGGCTCTAAAGATGGCTCAGCGGTTAAAAGCAATGATTGTTCTTGCAGAGGACCCAGGTTCAATTCCCAGCACCCACATGGTGACTAATAACCATCCATAACTCTAGTTCCAGGGGATATACCTTCTTCTGACCTCCACAAGCACTGCACAAAACAGGTGCACTTGCATACATGTAGGCAATACACTCATACACATAAAAATAATAAAATATAAAAGAAATCTGACTAGGAACCAGAAGGTAGAAGGATGCATTTTAAATCTCAATGAATTTCAAGCAAAAGCTTTTTTTTTTTTTTGATCTTTTTGAGACAGAGTCTCCCTGTAGCCCCAGCTGACCTGAACTCACTATGTAGACCAGGCTGGCCTTGAACTCACAAAGATCCACCTGCCTCTGCCTCCCAAGTGCTGAGACTAAAGGCGTGCACCACCACGCCCAGCAGCAAAAGCTTCTTTAAAAAAAATTTTTTTTAATTATTTTTTATGTGCTCTTAATAGTTGAGCCATCTCTCCAGACCCTTTTCTTTGGTTTTTTTTGAGACAAGGTTTCCCTATAGCCCCAGCTGGCTGATACTCACCAAGTGAATCCAGGCTGGCCTTGATCTCACAGAGATCCTTTGCCTCCTGAGTGCTAGGATTAAAGGCATGTGCCACCACACCCCGCCTTCAAAGCAGAGGCTTTTTAAAATCTTCTATGAGCAACAGAAAAGGAAACAGAACTTAAAAGACTTTACCCATTTACTGTATTTCAAAGGTCCAGTAAATCCCATGGCTTCTATTATCTTCGTGACGACACCAACCTTCTCCTCTACAGGCTGTGGGGAATCTTTGGTAGTAGGAAGCTGCTTAACCAAAGAAAAAGAAATCAAAATTAGTTACAAAAACTTTTTATAAACAGAATGCTTTTGGTCCTTCTTAGTTCTAAGGACATTTTTATGGCTTACAATTTCTTTTCACCTTGAATTTTTTTTTTTAAATGATCTTTGGCGAATTTGTTTTGTTTTGTTATGTTTTAGCATAGTACTGGGGATCAAACTCAGGGCCTCACACATGCTAAACAAGTGCCCTATGAAGCCACACTCAAAGCCCTCACCTAGATGTTCAAACACATCAGAAATGGTATCTAATAGACATCTTCCAAATTACAAAGCAAGACATGCCCACCTCACTAACCATATGTCTTTGAACCTATGATTAGGATATAAGACTGGGATATTAGAATAAAAGTTCCATGAAAAAGAGTACTTAAAATTTTTTTAATTTCTATGGATTTTTTTTTGTCTTTTTCAGACAGGGTCTCCCATAGTCCCAGCTGGCCTGAACTCACTATGGAGACCAGGCTGGCCTTGAACTCACTGAGATCCACCTGCTACTACCTCCTGAGTGCTGGGATTAAAGGTGTGTGCCACCACGCCCAGCCTATTTCTATTATTTTTAATTATGTGTTTACATGTGTCTGTGTGGGGGTATATGCACATGAGTGATGCAGGTGCACATGGAGACCAGAAACATCAAAGCCTCAGAGATGGAGTTATAGGTAATTGTGAACCTCCTGATGTGGGTGCTAGGAACCAAACTCAGGTCCTCTGTAAGAGCAGTACATGTTCCTAACCACTGAGTCATCTCTCTAAGCCTCAAAAACAGTACTTTTAAAAGGGAAAGGAAGGGGAAAGAGGAAGGGAAGGAGAAGGGAAAGGGAGAGGTAGAGAGAAGGGGAAAAGATTAAGGAAGGAGAGGAGAGGTAGGAGAAAGGAGGGAATAAATCCCAAGAAAAAACTGCTCTAAGGCTAAGACAGACTGTTCACCCAGTATTTCTATTTTTGAATTTCTATTCAAAGTTATAGACAACCGTTTTTAACTTGTACAGAATTCTAAAGTGTTTCTAGACAAGAGAATACAGTGGAAGGAACACAAGATGAAGCTCAGAAAGCTCAGGTTCAAACATTCAGCTGGTTTGTCATTTACCCTCCTTTGGAACCTTGGGTAAATCACTTCAAATCCCTAAGCCTCACCTTCTACATCCACTTAAACTCCTTGCTTCACTTAACCAACAAGTTTATTGCGATACATATAGGATCGTCTGTCTGAAAGCTCTGGAAGCAGAGAGCACTCACCTTATTTGTGGTGTGATATCCCCTTCTCTGTGGTAAGTCTATTCCAACAACTGGTTCAGTTCTAGCACAGACTGGCGGTTGATTCATCTGGGGCCCCTGGAAGATAAATAAACAGATATAAGCAACATTGAGCTGATCTGGCTAGATCTATCCAACCTTACTTAGGCCAAATCACGGTGATGTGTTCTCCAAGAATACCCAAGACCAGCACCTGGAATGCTGTCTGGTACACAATAGGTGCTCAATGTATATATATTAAATATTTGAAGCTGGATTTGGTGGCTCACACATGTATGTCTGATTGCCTGTGTTGGGGGTGTATGCATATGAGTTCAGGTGTCTTTGGAGGTCAAAAGCATCAGCACCCTGGAGACTGTAAGCCACCTGATGTGAGTGCTGGGAACAACGCTCGGGTCCTCTGCAAGAGCAGTACACAAGCAGGATGAGTTCTTAACCTCTGAGCCATCTCTCCAGCCCCTAATTAATTCTTGAATAAAAGGATTTAGCCCTAGAAAAAAGGACTAAATCTGAGTCAGAGAAAAAAATTATAATAGAAAGAGGATTACAGTAAGTTTCGATTGAAATACTGATGATGGTTCTGTGTGGGAATGGGGAGACACCAATTCAGTTTAAAACGTGCTGCTGCCACCTAAAAGTTTGGTGGCCATCAACAACTTTCTGCATTTCAGTTATAGTGAGGCTTGAAGGAAAAAAATCACATAAAGTCCATCTTACAAAATAGGTTTTCAATAAATAAAATCAATTTCCATCACCATCAGATTACAATTGTCTTCCTTTTATATAAACACTGCCTTAAAAACAATTTTGTGTCAGACGTGGTGGGTGCATGCCTTTAGTCCCAACACTTGGGAGGCAGAGGCAGGTGGATCTCTGTGGTTTTGAGGACAGCCTGGCCAGACATGATACATAGTGAGACTCTGTCTTAAAAAAAAAAAAAACCTGCCATGGCACATACCCTTAATCTGAGCACTTGGGAAGCAGAGGCAGAGCCAGGCAAATCTCTGTGAGTTTAAGGCCAACCTGGTCTACGTAGTGAGTTCCAGGCCAACGCCACTACAGGGAGACCCTGTCTCAAAAAGGACCAAAAAAAAAAAAAAAAAAACCTGCACCTGGGAGCAGTGGCATACATTTTTTATCTCAGCACTTGGGAGGTAGAGGCAGGTGGATCTCTGTTGAATTTGAGACTAGCCTGGTCTACATAGTGACTTCTAGGCCACCCAGAGCTACACAGTGAGACCCTATCTTAAAAATAAAATGTGGGCGTGGTGGCGCACTCCTTTAATCCCAGCACTTGGGAGGCAGAGGCAGGCAGATTTCTGTGAGTTCAAGGCCAGCCTGGTCTACATAGTGAGTTCCAGGACAGCTGGGGCTACAGGGAGACCCTGTCTCAAAAACACCAAAAAATAAATAAATAAATAAATAAAATGCAATGTAATAGTCAATTATCATTATGCAGCAGGGCTATGCTAAATACCTTACATATATTTCCTCCTTTAATCTTCACTGCAATTATTAGGTTACTTTTTCATTTATTTTTGATACATGTATGTATTAAATAAGAAATTGTACCTAGGACCTTGTACTTGCTAGGAAACCACTCTGCTACTAGATTAAATCTTCAAAATCTGCTATATTTTTTTCAGTGTCAGGGTCTTGCTATGTTGCCCAGGCTGTGTGATTGTACCCAGCTGACATTTTGTTTTATTTATTTATTTTTTGGGTTTTTTTGAGGTAGGATTCCATGCCACCCAGGCTGGCCTCTAACTCACTATGTTGCTGAGGGTGGCCTTCTACATCCATTCCCCAAGTGCCAAGATTACAGGTTTTGGGGTTTTTTGTTTGTGTTTTAGGGGTTGGGTTTCAGACAAGATCTTAGTATGCAGCCCTAGCTGGTCTGGAACTCTGCTATACAGACCAGGTTAGCCTCAAACTCACAGAGATCTGCCTGCTTCTGCCTCCCAAGTGCTGGGATTAAAGATGTTCCCCACCAATGCCAAGTTTTCTAAAGTGTTATTTTTAATAGGGTTTTGGGCAACAGTTTTAGGTTCATAGCAAAACTGAACAGAAAGCATACCCCCTCTCTCCATAGGCGCGGCCTCTCCCACTATCGATATCCCACATCAGAGTAGTACATTCACAATGAATCTATCTTGACATATCACTACACAGACACAGACAGAGACACACACAGACACACACAAAATGCTTATTTAAAAAATTAAAAATAAAAAAGCTTATGAAATGAGCAAAAAATTTAAATTTAAAAACAATATAGGTAAAAATATATATAAAAACATGAATGCATATAGGTAAATCTAGGAAGCAACACACAGAAATGAGAGGGTCATTTGGTGAAATTGGAATTAAGGATAATGGGTTATCCTTAGTGGTAGAGCACTATCCTCAGTGGTAGAGCACTTGGCCTAGCATGGGCAAGGTCTTAGATTTGATCTTCTGTACCAAAAGAGAAAGAGAGAGGGGATAGAGGTGGGAGGGAAGGGAAGCAAGAATTATTTGTAAGTTTAGAAATTTAGTGTCCAAATTCCCAGGAATGTTTTATTGTCTTTACAATAAAAAGGGGGGGGGCGTTAAGAAGAGAGTTAGTCTTTCAGTTCTGGCTTATTCCAAAAAGAGATGTGATAAATGGAATAGCAACGATTTCCTCTTTAATCTCAATGAAGGAAAACTAGAACTTCTAATTGTGGAATATTACTATTTATATTTCTTTCCAAACAAGGATATTAAAAGATTAGTCAGAATTCTTCTGGTCAGTCCCGGAGACACTTAACACTTTAATTCTCAAGTACCAAGCAGGCTTTGTAAAACACAGACTAAACACATAACACCTCCCATGACATCACATACATCAATGTAATGGTCCATCTAGAACACAAAGCACTTAAACTGGTTCAAGGAATACAAGCAACTGTAGTTTCAACACGTTGCGCATTGGGCTGAGATCGCCTATTAGGTTATACGACCTTCCTCTTTCCCCATAGCTCCAGGAGCAATCAATGGATTCCTTCTACTGCACTGAACAACTGAAGTACACACATGGTACCAGGGCATCATCTAGTTTTCCCACTTCTTTGTTTATCTATAAATACATACATTTACTTTGGGGACCACCCACTTTTGCCCTTGTTTTTAATTTTTATTGAATTTTTGTGTATTTCATATAGAACATCGTAATCATCTTTATATCCCCATCCCCACTGGCCCCGCCCATAGCTCCCTCCCACCACTGAATTCATAGATTCTGTCATTTGTGTTAAGGCCTATCATGTCAAGTTAGTGTCCCCTGATATCCCTCAGTGCAAATTCATCTACTGAAGGACCTCAATTTTTCATCTGTTCAGACTGAAGAGGCATTATTTTTTTGTCTGAGACAAAAGTACCCTGAAATACTCAAGTGTCACTTTTTCAAAAAGGCCCACCACCCCCCTTTCGGTCTCTCTCTTTTGGTGGTTGTTTTTGTTGCTCTTTTTTCATGTAACCCAGGCTAGCCTTGAACTCACTGTAGCAGAGGATAATCTTGTACTTCTGATCCTCCTGCTTCCACCTCCCAAGTGCTGAGATTATGGGCACACACCACCATACCCAGTTTCATGTGGAGCTGAGGATCAAACCCAGGGCTCTGTGCATGCCAGGCCAACACTCACTATCTAACTGAGCTACATCCCCGGTCCTTGGAAGAGGCCTTTTCTAACTGCCTTATGGAAAAATAGGTTCTTACACCCATCATTCTCTAGCATCATAACAGTCATTATAGCGTGCAATTATTATTTATATATATATTTACTTATTTTCAATCACTACTGCCAAAAAAGATACATGAAAGTAAGACCTAGCTTTATTGCCAGAGTCAAGCACTGCACATGGGAAACTCTTCAATATTTGTACCATCGGTACAATTCTTACTGCCAGTTATTTCTTCCCTATATTTGATCACATACATACCATATATGCATGCTTTATTTACCCAACCTCTATTAAACACCAGTTCTTGTACAGGTTTTGGGATAGATACAGATCTGTCTAAGAGGAGCTCATAATTTTATGAAGAAAGGGGAAAAAAAGAATTTGACATAAAGAAATGGATCCAAGCACCACATTTGAACTTGTCATCCACCACAAGAAAACAAAACCCTCCAGTATTAGGAAAGAAATGAGTTAGCTAGCACTTTCTTACAGTGACAGTGGGAATAAAATGTAACAGTCACTTGGAAATGATATTTGATAGTATCTAGTCAAGATCAATGCATTGCAAGACTCAGAAATTCTAGATAAATACCTCAAAAGAAGTGAATATGTAATATGGATGTTTATCAAAACATGTGGAAAATGCTCACAGCAGCACTAGTCATAAAACTCCCAAATGGAAACAATTCAAACATCAATCAGCAGGAGAACAGATAAAATACTATGACCAATCCCCTGGACCAAAAAGGTAAAACACTATGTGAGAATTAATATACTGTTACAACAAAGAGCACATATTTAATCTCTACAGCAAGGCTGAATGTCAGCAGACAAACACAAGAGATTATATACTGGATGTTTAAAAGGTATACTAGCTGGGCGTGGTGTCGCACGCCTATAATTCCAACAGAGGCAGGTGGATCTCTGTGAGTTCAAGGCCAACATGGTCTACATAGTGAGTTCCAGGACAGCTGGGGCTACAGGGAGACCCTGACTCAAAAAGATAAATAAATAAATAATAAATAAATAAATAAATAAATAAATAAATAAATAAATAAATGGTATACTAATCAATGGAACTGAAAGTAAAGACTGTAGTAAACCTTGGTGTGGTTAGTGACTAAAATGGACACTTTAGTCACTTTAATCGAGGAGACTTCTGCAATCTTGGTAATGTGTTTTGTTTCTTGTTGTTGGGGTTTTTTTTTGTTTGTTTTGTATTGTGTTCTATTGTTTTGTTTTTTTGTTTTGTTTTGTTTGAGACAGGGTCTTTCTTAGCTCCACCTGACCTAGCTCACTAAGGAAACCAGGCTAGCCTCCATCTCAGAGATCCACCTGCCTCTGCTGGGATTAAAGGCATGTGCTACCATGCC